GAGTTGTTGTGTGGTGCTAAGAGTGGCGTACTCACTGACGATGCAGGCAAAACGTCTGGGAATGTACCATGTCCACGGTCCGACTTTTGAAATGATCATGCATAAAATGGACTCCGGACTAGGTGCGCTGCTTAAAGTCTCCTCCCAATAGGGCAAAGTTGCGAAAACAAGGTCAAACAACTAATATAGGACGAAAGGAGACTGTGACGACACAAAAAGCCACACTATCTTGGTCTCCATACCTAGGATGAGCATAACTCATAGATCTGATTTACTGGTAGTCACGAGAACCTACTCAAAAGAAATATAAGTAATGTCGTAGATTAATATAGCAAATATGAGTTTCCTGCATCGACAATCAGATCACACAATGTTCTATGGGAAAATGCGTGGTGTTCCTTCAAATATAAATCTGCCCTGTGACCCAAGGGCACTCGTGGCAATGTGGCGTAGTAGGTAATTTTTCGAGCTCACACGCTGCACTGTTATGATTCGACTCCCGCTTGGGGTGTTGATAAGACCTATGCGAGGTCGAAACTGCAGTCCACCCTGGATGAGAACATCTTTTGGGAAAGCAAGGTTATGTATAATTCAATGGAAGCGTCAGCTCTACTCATATCATTGTGGGAAAATTCAACTACCATTCATTCATCACCTTAAAAGAAATAGGCCTAAAATCACTCATAAAGTTGTATTTGACAGCTATGACAAAGGATGTGGTACGAGAAACATCCTCTGAAGATTCAACGTAAGTAAGATCAAGTTTTGAAAGCGATGTCGAACCAACTGTAAAAATTTTGATTAAGAGTAGAACTAGTTCTCCCTAGTAAGCAGAAAATCAAAGTGAGTGCAAGAATTAGCCCACAATTCGAGATGTTGGGTGATGTAGTAAGTGAACTAACACAAGCAAAGAAGAATAGCACAATAATTAACTCACTAGCTTTGTAATTCCGCCATCCTCGTCGGTAATATTTGTCTCCCAGGTCTCATTTAGCTGGTAGGACTCGATTCCTGCATAGCAAAGAAAGGAAAACAACTTTACTAAAGGTTAAGCCTTTTGAGAGTTAACCAATGAGATAAGCAAAATTTCAAAAGGTCGTAACAAATCTGCATGAGAATCCTTCTTCACTTGAAAATAGGTAAAGATATTTTGAGCGCAGGTGGACGGAGAAGATAAAACAGTTTCCCTGTAGTTGACAAAAAGGCCTCGGGTCCTACCACAAGCAGTAAATCTAAACGCTTTTGGTACCAGAGGCCATGCCTCTACAGCAAGCCTGGACCAGGTGCATTTAAGAAATCAACAAAAATTCTCTGTGGACTAGTTGTACTCTAGCACAGATCGTCGTCAGGCGAGTGCACTCCATCCGGATGTCTTCGACGTTCCGCCGCTAGACGTTGTCTTTCCTTATACTCTATCCATATGCTCCTTTCCCAGCCTTTAAAGGTAAAGTGTCTCGACCAGAGACAAATGAGTCAAATAAACAGAACAGAAATATGATGATCAAGATGTTGTGGTCTCTAATTTGGTCGCAGTATCATTCCGAGGTATAAAAGTAGTCTGGCCTCGTTTGCGCAACTTGGTTATGTTGTCAGGGCGACATAGTTGAATGTACTTCGTCGTGAGTCCTCTGCCATAGTAGTTATCATAATTCCCAGCGTTTTACCGTGGACTTGGTACATTCTCAGACGTTTCGTCGGTATCGTCAGCGAGTCTTGCCATTCACTTCACTTGTCTCTTTGACGAGTTGTACCTTAGCGCTGAGAACGGCAAGACTCACTCACTGACTTTGCCGCTGAAAGGTCTGGGGAGTGTAAAAAGTCCATGGTCTAACGCAGGGAATAATGATAACTACTATAGCAAAGGGCATAGGGCCAAGTGCATCCAACCAGTTCGCCCTGACAACATGATAAAGTTGTGGAAACGGGGGAGACCACTTCTAAAGAGAATAAGGTCTCAAGACGGCGGTTCCCGATTTCGCCCGAGCACAAGTTCACTACGTAGCCCCAAATATTCAGCCCTAAGGCTTGATCTGGAAGCTGAGTTAATAAGATGTGCAGCCAGTGAACTGAGATTCTTTGATGGCAATGCGGTCGGGCAAATACATAAAATATTTAGAAACAGTGATAAAAAAGTAGTCATGTCACCAACGCGAAAGGACAGCTAATATGGACGGATGAAAAACAGGTACTTAAGAACGCCGTTCTAAAGAGTACGACTCAAGCGGCATTAGCGATAAAATTTTAATGTGAGTATGTTACGAAACTAACTACAATTCTTGAATAAGAAACCAGTCAACCAAATTTGCCCAAGTTGAAATTAGTTTGCACGACAATCAAATGAATAGACTTCACGGTGGCCGTGAATTTCACCCAACCTCGCCTACCAAAAGGTGTTAGAACCCTGGCAGAGCTGAAGTTTCGACCTCGCCTCATGGCCTCATCAACACCTACAACTAGATTCGAACCTAATTCGTGCGCATCGTGGCCTCACATCAACACTCCATTCCACACACATGCATACACACGGACAGCTCCGGATGCCACTAGGTCACAGGCCAGATTTGACTTTCAAGGCAAGCCAAGTCTCTGCCAAATCGCATTTATTCTATCTGTATTCGGTGTGGGTATGTCTGAAAATGTATTCATTCTATTTTGTTAAGGTGATGAAGGACTTGTAGTTGAATTTCCCACTTTTCCATTGCATCTCACATAGCCTTGCTTCCCAAAAGATATGCACATCCAGGCCGGTTTGGGCTGCAGTTTCTACCTCGCCTAGACTGGTCTCATTAGCACCCCTAGCGGGACTCGAATCCAAGTTGTGGCAATGTGGCGTATAATCCTCACACACTAACCACTACCCCACATTGTCACGAGTACCCTTGAGGCACAGAGAAGATGTGAATGTTAGGAAGGAACGGGCCTTCTATCATACCATATTCTATGGTGGGATTGTCGACCAAGCAAAGCTGCATTTGCTATAGCAAATAAAAATAGTTAGTTAATTATCATTATATGGAATAATGGTGTTTTCCTGTGAAGGAATCGTAGACCGAAATACTCCAAATAGACTGTAAATATTAAAAAAATAATAATTCAGCCAGACGAAATGGCATCACCTCGGTTGATTTAATGCTCCGAAGGACTGTTTAAAGAGACAAGAGAAAGCAGGAGAATTGAAACTCTGATGAGATTCCAAATTAGATAGGTGGGTCTTGCTGATGGATCTAGGCAAAATAGAAGGCCGGTGACAAAACAAGACTGCAAGAATCGAGTGAGAAAAAGCGACAAATAAAGGTGAACATGGGAAATTAAGGAAATGTGTGTTTAAGAGCAAAAGCCTACTGAGTTGTGCACTTCGAAATAGGCCCCGTACGGCATGGCGGCGTAAGTCGTGAGCCAAACGACTCAGGATCTCGTTGAGCTCCATAGGCATGTCCGCCAGCGGTAGAGTTGAGCAGCACTGTCTGAAGGGAAAAGAGGTAGCCAATCGTGAAATTAAGAGATAAAAGATGTAAATGGAATGCATACTTTGAGCCTAAAAGGGCATACAACTGTGCTATTCTAAAGGCAGCAGTCCCTGTATCATGTGTAACATGAATGCCTTTTTGACCCTTTTAAAGTGTATGATACCGTAAAATTCACTCGGCAAAATAGGGCGTTAACTTCAATTCATTTCGCCGTTTAGTAATACAGGTCCTCAAATGGTCGAATAGTTGGTCGTGTCCATAGCTCTAAATCGAGATTTACGGTTAATTTTGATGATAGCCGATGGAGTTAAGCAAGTCCTATCAAATATACCGTTCTTTTGAATGGAAATTGTTTGCCAGATTCAAGGAATAAATGAAACACTAACAGTTGTTTGACCATGCTCTCGCAACTTGATTATATTGGCAGGAAGACGTGGAAGAACACATCTTGTCCGGAGTCCATAATATGCATGATCATTTCCAGAGTCGGACCATGGACTTGATAAATTCCCAGACGTTTCGCCGGCATCGTCAGTGAGCCTTGCTATTTTTAGCCCTAAACTACAGCTCATCAAAAGAGATTGTTTAGCAGACAATTGGCCAAGAGATCGACTATACATGACTCTGACGAGTTGTGTTGTGGTGCTAAGAGTGGCAAGACTCACTGACGATGCTGGCAAAACGTCTGGGAATGTACCAAGTCCAAGGTCCGACTTTGGAAATGATCATGCATACTATGGACTCCGAACAAGATGCGTTCCTCTACGTCTTCCTGTCAATATGAACAAGTTGCGAAAACATGATCAAACAACTTCTATACAACGAAAGGAGACTGCGACCACACAAAAGGCCACACCATCTTGGTCTTAATACCTTCAACGAAACTCTTAGCCTGGCTTGATCCCAGCCATGCAAATCAGACGAACTGACTGGTCTTTTCTCACTATTCTAATGCCTTATTTTATCATATGAAACAATTGCTACTGCTTCTGGATTCGTACTTTCCTAGTTCTAGCGAATTTAGAAAAGGGCGGCCGTATAGGCCTGCAAATTGCATGAAATCATGCAAAAAGGACACACACTATAGAATATAACAATAAAATATTGGTTTCTAGCTGTTTAAGTGACAGGAAATGACCTCAGATGAAAGCAGTGTCGTGTGCTGTTAGTCACCTGAGCCGACCTGTAAACCTGCTTCAGACTACCACAACTTTGAATTCACCAAAGCTA